ATATGGTACTACAAGGTCATTAAGATAAGATGGGGCCTGATTATTTAAGACCTTGTATGTGAGGAGCAGGATTTTGAATTCAATTCTGGATTTTCTGCATGTAGTCTAAAGTCAGTATTCTTTAAATGGTCTCTTGACTCTACAGGCCCTCTTGATCTTACACCACAAAACTACTGTGTACTCTGCTTATTACAGTACACTTCCATAAATGGATTTCCCATATATGGTAAATGGTAAATGGCCTGCATTTGTATAGCGCTTTACTCAGTCACTAAGGACCCCAAAGAGCTTTACACTACATTCAGTCATTCACCCATTCACACACACATTCACACACTGGCAATGGCAAGCTACATTGTAGCCACAGCTGCCCTGGGGCGCACTGACAGAGGCGATATATGTGAGATGCAATCAAAAACTTTCACTACAGCACAGGGATAAAAGGATTTCAATTTGGTTAACGTTTCATTCAAGGTCGTGTCCTTGAGCCATACACTGCTACGTTTTGATCACTCGCTTGAAGTTCTGTTTTGACTAGTCGCAGGCGTAGATTTGTGATACACACTGGATTTCCTCCAGCCTGTCAAAACAGCAACCTTCGAAGTTGCAAGTAACTAAAAGTGGTGAGTAGGGTGAGAGGTGCCCTTGTAGGACAATTGTGTGTGCTGTAGTTCATTTGCACATAACGTCCTTGCTCAGACGTCTCAAAGGACTGGCATGGCTGTGCAGAGCCTTTGCACGATTTTGCAGACTGTCACCTATATGCTGTAACTGATTACTGTCACCAGGTGGCAGAGTCAAAAATGCGTGGAAGAACCAGTCTGTGGGCTGTTCTTGTGATGCTGTTGATCCTTCAGCCAGCCATGGAGAAGATTGATGTTATAACATGCAAAGAGTTAAAGTGAAACCAAGCATTCAAAACAAAACAACTGCAGCCAGCGTCTGGGCTTTTTCACGCTACTGTTTTGATCTTTGGTATTATTTTGTTCTTTTTTCATGCTTCTGTCTCCCCTTTGCAGTGAATGCTCCCTTTCCTGCCCAGCTCCACTTTTCAACCAATCAGCATTCGATCTACACACAGCATCATCTTTGCTGAGCCATGCACTGTTGGCGTTTTGAGGACTGCACATCAGCGCATCTCTGTAGAGATAACCGAATACTCACGCAAATGAGCACAAATACAGTACCATGAATCCCATTTTAAGACAGTAGAACTGGGCACTCACAGTCTGATCCTATGGGAAAATTTCCCAGTGTGCCTGACCTGATGCACTGCTCTTCAGGCTTGAAAACTCCAAGCTCATCTACTGGAAATACTATTTGGTGTCTGAGTTTATAGCCAGAGACCAAAAACTCAAAATGATATCAGTTAGCTTAGGTAAAAGTTAAATCACTTAAATTTTTTGGTGTTTTTTTAGGTGAAGCAGAACATATCTTGTATGTTTTGTCTGTTTGAAAAATAGAAAAGAACTTATGCAAGACTTCAGTCGCCACAACAACAGAAACGCTAAATGATTTTCAGAAGTGAAGAAGAGGACCATTGTCTGCGACTGCACAACAACATCTGGTTGATGATCTTTGGCAATGGAATAATTTCAGTACTTTTATCAGAACAATCTTGATAACCAAAACAGTTTCTGTGGAATCTTTATACTGATTCAGTGTAAACTGTGCTTTTCTCCTCAAGCCGCTAGCACTAAGGCTATCATTCAGCTATTACACAATGATAAGTATGCTTCTGTTTTTTACAGGTGTTTATGTTATTCGATGACAAATGATGGCAACTGGACGCACAAAAATGAAACAGGATGAAGTAAGTGTCCCTGTAAATTTGTCTTACATAATACTGAATAAAAAAGAGGAGTAATTGGGGGAAGCCAAAGTCTTCCTTGAATTATTTGTAGATTATGAGGGCTGATAAAGATAGTACTGGGGACTGGAATTTGCAGATTTCTCTACTGATATGATCAGTTTACTTCCAGCCTGTCAGCCATTGGGATCTAGTTTAAACATGTCAATTCAAGCAGACTATTCAAGCCTTGTCTTTGCCTCTTTCTCATTTCTCATCCTTTTTTCTAAATCCATCCTGTTTCGCCTTTTTCTATAATTTTGACCCTGCTTTCTGGAGTTTACCATCTTACAGTTCTTTTAAAATGATGTGCCTATATTTTAACTTTTCAATTTGAAACAAGTGGAATACAGGAAAATAAAAGGAGGGACAAGGGGGAGGAGCTTAGTAAGGTATTATATTTTATGACAATGTTTTTCTATTTTATTGAATTTCATCTTATGGCTCGGCTCGTGTTTCAAAATGCCCCACAACTTTACTTTTCTAAATGCCACTGGAAGCATACTTCATACAGACACAAAAAAGAAAAACTCTAAACTGTTACAAACAAAATTTAGACCAGAAAAAAGACTATCATGCACATTTCATCTTCAAAGTGCCTCTGCACAGAAACATTGCAGCATCCACACATACCTGGCATGACAATCTTGTCACAGGCTACACACTTGGAGGAGAATTCATTACAGTAGCAGTCATTGCAGAGCAGTGCATCATCCTGGCTAGTGAAGGGTTCATCTGCCAGAGAGCGATCGCAGCGGAAGCAACGGAAGCAGTGCTCATGGTAATGCCGGTCTTCATAAAAGAGTTCCTGGCAGCAGAGCAAAGAAAAGGCAAGGACACTGAAAGTCATTTCATACACTTACAAATGTGTCCAAGAAATGAAGTGACATTTCCAGGCATATAAACTAAAGGGATAACAAAAATACTAAAAATTAATTTGTGTTTATAGCATGAGCATTGAGGAGTTTAGTCCTGGGCTAGGTCAAATGTCTGTATATGCAGTGACAAGTAGGTTGCACATGTGCATGACTGTGATTTTATTGGTCAGGCATGTGGAGTAAATTCATTGTATACAGGGCTTTAAGCCAGGAAAATGCTGGCTTTATTTTTCATTTACCCCTCTTAAGGGTGTTGATAACTGAATGGAATGTTTTAGCTAAGTAAACTATCAAGCACTGTGTCATATCTCCACTTATTTGACTCCATTATGGACCATATTGGCTTTAGCTGATCCACTTCATATTAGTGTTTTCCACTGAGGGAGGATTACATTTTAACTTGATTGTGGGGAAGAAATAGACATTGCCTAATGCTGCATTTTTACTATCTCAAAATGAGTTAGTTGGCATTTATGGACTTCTGTGGAAATTACCTGCATAATTGCTTGTTAAATTAGCCTCTACAATGTCTTGCTATGCAAAATATATAGATCACGCCTCATTTACTATGAATTATGCATCATTAACATGACATAACTTCTGTTTTAGCCATTCAAAGCCATGTCCAAACACTGTAAAAATGGCATAAAGCTCATTGGAGTAGTTCTTTTGTGTGATTTATCTTTGTTTAATACAAAGTCCACACTGTGGAAAGAGGTAGATCATTATTAGTAGTTTATTACATAAGGAAATCCTATATATACAATCATGTTTTTATCTTTTTATAACAACTATCGAATGCTTTTCAACTGCAAATCTAAAAAAATATTCCACTTGTTACTCTTGTTGTCGAGCACATAGCTGATTACATGTTGGGTCACGTTGAAATGGATGCCTTACCCTTGCGTCATGGCCAATCAGTTCTTTGCACTCGTCACATGTGTTCGAGAACAAGGTGTCATAGCAGGGAATGCAGTAGGGGCTGTCATCAGACTGGATGTACTTGCGGCCATACAGCGATTCTTTGCAATTGTCACAGTCAAATCGGTCAGTCATCGTAATTTCCTAAAATAGAGAAAAGATGCATTCAGGTCATCAATGACTCTAAAATAAAATGCTAAAAAGCAAAAGTGAGAACAAACAATAAAAGCACAAGAGAATAGAACAATGAACAGTGGACGAAAAGGAGGGAGTGTGCTCAAGAATGATTCAATCACCTTTTCCATCACAGCAGCTGAACATCAGTGTAGACTTTCACTGCCAATATTTATGCTGTAAATACTTCAGCTTGTACCAGCAATGGAGCTGAGCTCAAACAAAACACACAGCGCAAGTGGGAGCAAGTGGAAAGAGACGCAGGGAAAGGAGTGAGGGAGGGAGTTAGAGCGGTTCAAAATGCCTATTAACGTTTTATTACTGTGTGATGAAAGTATGTGGTAGGTGCAAAGGGAAGGGGGCAAAAGAGGGAGCTGTCACTTGCTGTCTTTGAGTAAAACACATTCCTGTTTCCAGGAAGCGCAAGCTAACGAGTAAAATGCCAAACTGAACAACCTCAGCTGCCATTATGACAGAAAGACGTAGTATATCTGCGCACATCACATGAAATCCACGTGCGTGTAAATATTTCTGATGCAAGGATTTATTTTTGTACATAGCATGGACCACCAACAGATACAGAAATCTGGTGAAGCGTTTGAAAGTGTGTTTGTGTGTGTATGTCTGAACACGACTGCTCAGCAAGTGGCTTCCTTGCAGGACAAGATGCAGCTACAGTGTGTGCCTTATAGATAATAGGCAGTAACTGTCTATGAACATGGTTTCCGATGTACAAAAGCACCCTTGATCATGACTGAGTGAACAACAAAGTGACAGAACAACATTGTGTGGGCATTATGGTAACAGTATCAGGTTGCCAAAACATTACAACATGGCTGGAGAAAAGCCCAGTGATAAGTTATACCGCCCTCTGGCAGGCTCTAGTGCTGGCTATTCATTCCCACCACCCAGTAACAACAATCATCGTTGATAAGACAATCAATCAAACTTTAAACTGGTCCATTGCTGCCTGTCTTACACCCACACCCTTAGAAAAACACCCACGGCTGCAGGCACACAAGCATATTACACACAAATCCCAAAGGAGGCATGTAAATACACATACTGACATTTTTTGTACCAAAGGGGGGAAAAAAGAACAAAGCCAAGTCACACAGGATCCACCATCAAAGAAAAAAATAGTCTCAGCCTCTCAAGTTTCAGCCGTCTCTGCCGCTTTGGACATGTGTATGAACGGGCGCACATCACTACACTGCCATGTCACTCTAATTTAATGACTGAATGTCTTAAATTCTGGGGCTTATGCGAAAAGATCAGAATAAGCAGCTGTGGTTCTGTTGTGTTTTAACACTACATTTATGTACATTTGATACACCATCCATCTAAGAAACTGCTGCCATTGGCCCACATAACTACAACGTCAGGATTAGATCAGCAAAGTATAAAGCTCAAAAGCAGCACCGCGACCTTAATATTATCTGCACGTCACGTTAACATACCTGGCACTGCCTTCCAGGCAAAGGTACGGGATGAGGCATGACTCACAAAGCCAGAGAGTCAGTGCTATGACGTCTGATATAAGATTAAATTTCCACAGCAAATCACACACGTATTTATTGCCTGTTTCATATTCATACATAATCTGTCCATTATAATAATAAAGTATATAGAAGTTGTTAAAGTAGAGAAGTGAGATGTTTACACTTCGATTCCTTAAAGAGTACTAAACAGTCTGCCTTTTTTTTTTTTTAGGTTTGTCTAGTTTCCTTGTCTAAAAACTAGGTTAGGGTTAAGTATCCAAAGAACTCAGTGGAGCACAGATGAACATTAGAAGTAATTGCAAAATTTTCCAGAACCAAGTACAAATATATTGCATGTAATACTTCAAGAATCAGAACAAAGGCTGTTTTTTTACTCCCAGGACTTGTAGTGTTACAGTGAAGTGATTTACTTCAAATACCAATCCAAAGCCTAAAATGAAGTTCTAACAGCACAGACTCGCACAGAGAGGGGCATGACGTCAGTGCACTGACCCTGCAGTGATGGCTTAGGACGTGACTGCATGCAGAAATTGTTGGCCACTAATCAAAAGAGAAGAGAAGAGAAGAGAAGAGAAGAGAAGAGAAGAGAAGAGAAGAGAAGAGAAGAGAAGAGAAGAGAAGAGA